AAAGGAGAAGCCAAAACCGCCCGGTGAGGCAGCGGGCGCGGCGGCCGCGGCGCTGGCAGGGGCCGAGCCGCCAAAGGCGAAGGGCTGCGGAGCTGCCGTGGCGGAGGGCGCGGCTGCGGGCGCGGCGCCAAACGTCATCGCGGCTGGCTGCGCCTGGGTGGGCGCGCCTGCTGGCGAGAAGGGTGCGGCGCCCCCAAAGTTGAAGGCGGGCGCGGGCGCAGGCGCAGGCGCCGCTGCCGCTGCGGAGGACGCCGCTGGCGTTGAGGACCCGCCGAATGCAAAAGCAGGCGCGCTCGCCGCCGCCGAAGACGGCGCTGCCGGCGCAGGGGCCGCGGCCGCCCCAAATGTGAAGCCGCCCGGGGCTGCTGCGCCGGCAGCGGCGCCCGCCGGCGCCGCCGGGGCAGCCCCGAAGCTGAAGGTCGCGCCGCCCGCCGGCGCCGACGCACCGGGGGGCGAGGCGGCGGCCGCCGGCGGCGGCGCAGCCCCGAATGAAAAGCCCCCTGATGCTGGCGCGGGCGCGGACGTTGGCCCAGTTGGTGCGTTTGCCAAGGCAGACGATGCGGGGCCCGAGCTTGCAGGGGCGGAGGCCCCGAATGCGAACGTCGTTGGCGCCCCACCAAACGAAAACGGGGCTGGGGACGCCGCAGCCGCCGCAGCCGCCGCGGGCGCCCCGCTGGCCGTAGCCGCAGGCGTGATGGAGGCGCCTGACGGGGCTGCTGCGGACGCCACCGCCGCCGCGCCGCCGGATGACGAGGCCCCGAAGTTGAAGCCGCCCACAGCCGCCAGTGCGGGCCCGCCAGCACTGTCCCCAGCCGCTGCCTTGCCCTCAGTCCCGGCCGGCGCAGCACCCGCGGCCGGCGGCGGCGCGCCGAAAGTAAAGCTGGGCACCGGCTGCGACGGCCCCGCCGCCTGGGGTGGGGCCTCTGCTGCTGCCGACGCAGGGTCGGCTGCGGGTGCGGCCGCGGCGGCGGCTGCAGGTGCGCCACCGAAGTAGGAGGAAAGCGCTGCGGGCGCCGCTGCCGGCTTGTCTGGCGCGCCAGCCGCTGACTTGGCGCCGCCGTTTACCACGCCGCTGCCACCCCCCACTGGTTCCTCGCCGCCTGCTTTGGTCGCATCCTTTGCGGCCGCGTTGCCGCCATCACCTTTCGCCACTGCCTCGGGCGCCGCCGGCGCCGCGCCAAAGCTGAAGGCCGGCGTGGACGCCGCGGCAGCGGCTGGCAGCGTCCCTGCCTTTGCCGTCGCGGTCGGCGCCGGCAGGGCAAGGGCCTTGGCAGGCTCTTCTGGCTCCTCTGATAGGTCGTCCTCTGACTCTCCCGCCAGTGGTGGCACAAAAAAAGTGACTGGTCGGCGCAGCGGCGTGCTGCCCGTGCCAGTCTGCGGCGCCACGTTGCCCGGTCGCAAGCGGAACGGCGAGAGCGCCTGCTCGTGCTGCACTGCAGCACCAGCGGCGGTGCTGCCGACAGCGCCGCCCTTCAAGAAGGCTGCACGGCTGCCCAGGACGGAAGACATATCCACCTTGAATCCTCTTTGCGCCTCTTCCGGCGCCTCTCGCCGCCTGACGGAGCGATCTTGCACGCCATCATCGGAATCGAGAACTGATGCAGACCGCTTGCGGCCGGACGGATGAAGCTCGCCCTGATTGTGGCTGACATTCCCCGCGGACTGCCTGGGCGTGAGAGCGCTGGAGGTCCGTGCTCGTTGGTGCATCGTATGCAGTTGAGCTTGCCTGCTGTGCTTGGCTAGCAGGCAGAATGTTCGAAAGATGACAACGGGAGCAATGTAATTGCAAAAGGCGAACTCTTGCTGCAACCCGCCCTTGCGCCGCCGTCGCAACCCCCCCTTGCGATCAGCAGCTCGAGCTGTCGCAGCAACGATTGAACTTAGCCGGGATGGAAGCATGCCACATTGACTGATTTGCAGGAATGTCAGCGTTTCAAAAATTCCCACCACTTCCTAAAAGTCATCAAGGGTAGTGCTAGAGGTCGCCCACCCGACGACCTGCGTGACACCAGGAAGCAACCGTTTGCCACCCAATTACTGTCGCCTCCCTGTGACGTGAACAGGCCCAGCGTTTGTGACACGTGCCCCTTTCATGCACACTTCGGAGCAGATGGATACAGTTGCTACAAATAGTTGCAGGCGGGCCGGCCTGCAGCCACTCGTTTACGACGCATCGAGCCCGTGCTGCCTTGTCAGCAGCTCCTCCGCCTTGGGCGCCGCCGCTCGCGTGCTGTACTGCTTGTAGAAAGCCTGGTGTCGCGGTACAAGCATGCGCGATCAGCATCAGTATCAGCATCATCTCTGTCTTTTGAACCTAGAGTTTCACTCCCTGGCGACAGGCGCAAGGTGGTGCTTGCAGCGGCCATCACACCAACTCAAGCACCGCCTGCTGCTTGAGGTCTCCATCCTGCTTGCCTGCCACTGGGATCCATACCAAACAAACCCAAGACATTGTGAGCCCTCACGCACCTTGTAGCCAATACCCTCTGCCAAGGGGACCACCCAGTCCTCGACCGCACGCCACGCCCAGGCCGGCATGCCGGTCAGCACGGTCTCGCCGCGCGCATAGGTGAGCAGCTTCTGCACGGGGCTGACGGCCAGCGCGGTCTCATACTCATGCCCCAGGCCTGGGTGTGTCATCAGGCGGGTAAGATTGAGATTGGGTTTTCTAGGCTGTGGGACCGCATCGCCTGTGCAGCCAATTAGGGGCGCTCGATGAAAGCAAAACATGACGACCAACGCACCACGCTTGCAGCGGTCGCCAAAACACAACCTGCAGCTTCTCAACGTACTGTTATTGTGCTGGTAGGCCCATCCCGCTCACCTTCTTTGGACTAGACACTCTCACAATTACGCATTCCTCCTTGAACAAGCATGCGTGCCTAGGTACACATGGTCGCTCGCACAGAGCACACATGTTCGCCCAACCTCCTGCATACCCATCAACCCCTCACCAGCAAGCGTCTCGTACAGCGCCTCCCCTTGCCGTGCCGGCCGCCACGTCACCTCCAGCAGCAAGTCCCCGCCCCCCTCGCCCCCCGCATTCCAAAGTGAGTGCGCCTCGCCTGCGGTGGGGCGCCAAGGTTCCAGAGGCACGGCTGTCTGGAGGGGCTTGGTGAGTTCACTTGTGGAAGCAGACGGGCGGTGTATGGCCCCGCCCTGGATGCTGCTGCTGACATACACCAAGCGCCAGCGCGCCGATGCAGTGGCAGACGTGCATCGCCATGGCCGTGTCCGCATGTTGCAGACGTGATTGAAACCTCCCCAGCACCCCGCCCACGCATCACACAGAAAATGTAAACGCAACGCGCACCCTGCTGTATAATGATGCCATCGTCCTGGGCCCCAGCCTCCGCCGCCAGCGAGGCGTGGCCCCGCCAGTAACCCAGGCGCCCCTGCTTGACCTCAACATGCTCATCCTGGTACAGATGCAGGTGGCCCGGCTGGGAGCCGGGCTGGCCTGGAAATCAATCGGTTGGGTGGCAGCACTTGTGGTGTTGGCGAGGTTGCCGGATTTGAAGGCCAAGACGACGCAGGCGAAGGGCGCGCTGATGCTGGCATGTTGAGAGCCCACAGCCAGTACAGTCCATCTGCCCCACTGCATGGCGTTGTTGCCCGCCGTGGTGGGAATGCGCAGTCGCATTGCTATCTCAATCAGCAGCGCGTACCTCGCGAGGCGCCGTAGGCTCCCTCCCTGATCAGCAGTTCCATTGTGAAGGACTCCCCGCCTGTGTCGTCGCTGCTGGTGACCACACGGTATCGCGTCTGGTTGCCTGTGGAGGGGCGTCGCAATTTGGGGTGCTGTTGCGAGGCGGGGGCCATTGTCGGTGGGGGTGCACGGTGCGCTGGATTGTAGTGACGCTCTAGTCGCCGCGAGGCAAGTGCACGTCGCCAGCTCAATGAATCGTGCGTAGGAGCCACCACTATCTGTTTCTTGCTACCCTCTCACCTGCCATCGAGTCTTCTATGTATTCTTGCCCGTTGAAGCTGGTGCGTGTTTTGCGGTTGACGCCCCACCGCACGCCCGACGTCATCAGCAGCGCCATGCTGCCGAATGCCATACCAAACACCACGAAGCCGGGTAATGGGAGGCGGCCCATGGTGTGCTACCGTTTGCTGCTGCTGCTGCCTCTCAAGGCGCTGATGGCACTGGTGTGTGCGGCCGCGGCCCGGTCGCTCCCCAACACAACTGGAGCTCCCTGCACACGCCACTGCTGCTTGCCGCTTCCCTGACGGCCGTGCCACCTAGCAGACTGATCTTCGGTGCTCTGTGATGTGGTGATCTTTCAACGTTTTGTATCTCAACAGCAGCTCATATGTTGGTGCCCGCAGTGCCGATGTGTGTGATCATTCAAAGCGCAGGGCCGTTTTTATGACAAACTGAATGTGACGACACTAATGATTTGCGCATCAGTATGCCATCCAATCCTCTTTGCACGCTACGGTAATGAACGTGCATCATGGCACCTGATCTGACGGCAGTTCAATTCAAAGCAACTTGACCACGTCTCCACGACAGACGACGAACAATACCAACCCCTGAGACATAACAGGGAAATCAACTGGCGATGCCGAGTACGGTGGTCAACCAGGGCTTGAGCCGGCAGGTGGCAGTGCTGACTGCCGTATTGCGTCGAAAGAAATTGAGCGGCGGCATGCGCGACAGTGCCCTAAGCGCTGCCGTTAGTGCCCTCAGTCATGAGTGCGACAAGGCCAAAGCTGGCGAGCTGGTGGAGGCCAGCGCGCTCGAGGCACTCTGCGGGTGCTTGCGCTCGCCGAGCGCTGCGGTAGTGCATGCCTGCCTCGTGTCGCTGGCGCACCTCTGCCAGGGTGAGTAAGCGTGGGACCGCTCGTGCTTGGGAGATGCAGGGATTTTAACCTGGATGCTTTCAGCGTGGCTCATCAGAACACACTGCCAGTGGGCCTCTGACTGGTAGCCCTGCAAGCCTCGTCCCGCCTCACATGACCCCCAGTCCCCCCAGGCGGCCCCAGCAACGAGCGGGTCCCCCAAATCAGCGCCGTCCCAGGTTTTCTCCAAAGTCTGGTGTCATGCATGGCCAGCGGCAATCTCATGACAGCGTGCGGCGCCACGAGGCTTCTGAGACATGCGATCGATGCGCACGACGACGCCGCCCGCGCTGCGCTCCAGCCCGGCTTGCCGGCCGCCATTATCTCACAGATGCACAAGTTCACCAGCAACTGCAGCGCCGGCAGCGGTGACAAAATCTATGCGTTAAGGTGGGGCAAGAACTCACCCTCGTACCTGGTGCAGGACAGCAGCTTGCAGAGCAGATTTCCTCAGCTTTTCTGCACCACTGCTTCTTGAGCGCTATATGGCAGGGCAAACAGATGCGCCAAGCCTCGATCAGGGCTGCTTTGCAGGTCGCTGGCCTTGTTGCTCCCCTGTGCCAGTGTACTCACAAACTTCTGCCTCAAACACTGCAATCCCTGTGCGTGCCCGGGCCCACGGGAATCATCAACTGCAGCCCGCACAGCATGTTGAGCACAACTGAATTCTGTCACGCGGACATGTTGATCGTCGGCTGCATCAGCGAAATATTGGCAAGCCCGCACACGGAAGTCAGGGAGTCGCTGGCACACCATGCGGGCTTCGGCTCAGCCGCCGCCACGCTGCTGGCGTGCCCGGCCGCGTACGCCGCCAGCGCTGCAGCTGGGGCGCTCTTGGGCTTCTTGGGGACCAACCAACGCTACGCCTTCAGGCCGGGCGACACGCGGCGGGCAGTGCTGCGCCTCGAGCTGGCCCCACTGGCGACCGGGATTGGTGGGATGCTGCGGCGCGCCACGCGCGGCATGGACGCGCTTAGTGCCCAAGGCAGCAGCAACGAAGCGACCGCGGCCGCCGCGGTCAGCCTTCTGCATGAAATCCTTGTGGGCGGCCGCGAGGAGGCGGCGGCGGCGATGGGTGACGCGGAGCCGCAGCTGCCGCTGCTGCTGTGGCGATTCTTGCAGCTCTGGGGGGACGTCGACAAGATTCAGGTGAATGACGAGAGGCTGGAGGATTGGATGCACCTGCGTCCGCTGGCTCGACACAATACAAGGACCTGCCAGCTGGCCCGCGGCGCCGAATGGATCACGGCATATCGCCCCTGCTGTTTGGGCTCCGCTGGCTCTCTGCTCACGCAAGACCACCGCCGCCCTCCATCCGGGCCGCTTGCATCCCGCCAGGACGCCACCTCTGGCATGGCTCACAGCAGCATCCAGGCCTTGATCTGCTTCAGCCAGAGCGCCGCCAAGCACCTGGCGGGCCATGAGCCGCCTGCCCTCATGCGCGCCGGAATTCCCTGTTTGCTGCGCATTGGCAGCGGCGAGGACCCGAGCATTGAGCTGCCAGGCAACGACCTGTTGTGGGCCGCTGCGCCGCCGGCGCTACAAGAAATGATGCACCAAAAGTTTGATGTTCGGTTTGGCGGGCGAGTGTCGCGCGCAAGCATGATGGCGACGCCGCGACGGCCCACTTTTCGGGATTTTGGCCGCGGGAAGGATCAGGGGGATGTGGCGCAATCAGTGTCGGCGGAAGATGAAGAGGCACCTGCAGCTGTGGCGCCGCCACCGCCACCTCCCGCGGCCGCTGCCCCGCAAGAGGCTGCGGCGCCGCCCGCATCTGCCACGACCGGTGCGGCGTTCCGCCGCCGTGCGTCCCGCAAACAGCTGGCGTGCGCCGTGTGCGGGAAGACCGCCCGCGACGGCGCCGCGCTCAGGCGCTGCGCCGGCTGCGGCCGCGTGACGCGCGTCTGCTACTGCAGCCAGGAGCACTGCAGGAGGCACTGGGTGGTGATGGGCCACAGGCGGCAGTGCGAGGAGGTGCAGCTTCGGCTCAAGGCGGCTGGTCAGGGAGGAGGCACATTGGAGGGCGGCCTGGGCAGCATGCGTGATGGGAATGGCGCCAGCACTGAGCCGCGGGACTGACACGTTCGATCCGCCTGCAGGCTTTCCTCATCTGGGTTCTGGCAATGGTTGGCTTTGTGGGTAAGGCTGCTGGGTGCAGCCTGGGTGGGTGAAGTGACTGGGCTAAAACTCTGCAATGGGTGATTTGATATCCGCCAACTGTCCCCAATTGCTGAGTAATTGCATGTTTGCCAATGGCTTTTTGGACCGGTGTGGAGGACTCTGAAACGAGAGGCAGAGTGTCGGGGGCTGGCAGCAAGCGCTGCGAACCATTGGCGGGGGGCAGGGGGCGGGACGGTACAACAGTACAGCACCTGCATTGTGGCCAATGCTGCAGCACGCGCCCACTTCTGCGACAGCGATGCTATTGTGGGCGGCAGGTGCACTCACGCCGGGTTGAGCATAATGCACGCAGTGCCAGTGATGTGTGACAACGATTTTTCGCAAACACGGTTTCATGACGTGTCAAGCTGGTTGTAATAGTGTACTCATATCTGGTGGATATCCTCGCAAGTTACCTTCTGTAATATAAACGAGCATGTGCCATGGCATCTGATCTGACGGCGACAGTGTAATTTGACCACGCATCCGCAGAGGTGGCTAATTACACCAAACGGCTCAGGCATATCAGCTTTCAAATGCCGAGTATGGCGGTCAACCAGGGCTTGAGCCGGCAGGTTGCTGCGTTGACTGCGGTACTGCGTCGAAAGAAACAGGGCGGCGGCATGGGCCCGAACACTGCCCTGGGCGCTGCCGTTGATTCCCTCAGTCATGCGTGCGAAATGGCCACAGCCGGCGGGCTCGTGGAGGCCGGCGCGCTCAAGGCGCTCTGCAGCTGCCTGCGCTCGCCGAGCGCTGCGGTAGTGCATGCCTGCGTTGTGTCGCTGGCGCACCTCTGCCAGGGTGAGCCAGCGTTGGACCGCTCATGCCTGCAAATAGCAGGCATTTCGATTTGAGTACTTGCGGCCCATGAAATTGCACTGCCGGGAGGTCTCCATTTGGCAGCCCTAAACGCCACAGCCCGGCTCGCACCACCCCCACGCCGCCCAGGCAGCAACAGCAACGAGCGCGTCCGCCAGATTCTCGCCGTCCCGGGGTTTCTCCAAAGTCTGGTGTCATGCATGGCCAGCGGTAACCTCATGACGGCGTGTGGCGCCACAAATCTTCTGCGACATGCGATTGAAGCGCACGGCGACGCCGCCCGCGCTGCGCTCCAGCCGGGCCTGCCGGCCGCCATCATCTCACAGATGAACAAGTTCGCCAGTGACTGCAGCACCGGCAGCGGCGACAGAATTTATGCGTTCAGGTGGGACAGAAAGGTACCCGTCTTGGCTGGTGGGGCACAGCGGCTTGCACGTATTTGTTTCCTCAGCTCTGCTGCACTGCTGCGTTTCGGGTGCTGCACGGCAGGTCAAACAGCCGCGCCAAGCCACAAGCAGGGATGCTTTGCAGGTTGCCGGCCCTGTTGCTCCCGCGCTGCGGCGGGCCAGTGTGCTCACACAACAATTGTCGGACGCACTGCGGTGCCTGCGCGTGCCCGGGCCCATCAAAAACATCGACTGCAGCCCTCACAGCTTGTTGTCTGCAAATGAAGACGGTCACGTGGACGCGCTTATACCCGGCTGCATCAGGCCCATACTTGCAAGCCCGTACGGGGAGGTCAGGGAGGCGCTCGCACACCATGCGGGCTTTGCCGCGGCTGCCAGCGCGCTGCTAGCCTGCCCGGCCGCGTACGCCTCCACTGCAATTGCTCAGGCGCTCTCGGGCTTCTTGGCATCATCCGACATCTGTGACGCCTCCAGGCCGGGCGACCCACGGCGGGCAGTGCTGCGCCTTGAGCTGGCGCCACTGGCGAGTGGAATTGTCGGCGTGCTGCAGCGCGCCACGCGAGGCGTGAACGCTCGTAGTCCCCAAGGCAGCAGCAAAAGAGCGGCCGCAGTGCAGGCCGCCTCTGCAGCGCTTGGCCTGGTGCATGGTATCCTCATGGGCGGCCGGGAGGCGGCGGCGGCGTCAATGGGTGACGCGGAGCCGCAGCTGCCGCTGCTGCTCTGGCGGGTGGCGCAGCTTATGGTGGATGTGAATCAGAGCCTGGTGAGAGACAAGCCTGACAATGAGATGCATCCGCACCTGCTGGCTTGATGCAGTTGAGCTACCCGCCAGACGGCCCGAGGCGCCTTGGGCACCACGGCCACTGCGGTTTGGGCCCTGCTGGCTCTCTGCTCCCACACGCCCACCGCTGCCCGCCGGCCGGCCAGCGTGAATCCCTTCAGGACGCCAACTTCGAAATGGCTTACAGCAGCATCCAGGCCTTGATCTGCTTCAGCCAGAGCGCCGCCAAGCACCTGGCCGCCCGCGAGCGGGCGACCCTGACCACTGCCGCAGTGTTCTGCATGCTGCGCGGCGACAGCGGCACGCAGCCACCGGCTGAGTGGCCGGGCAGTGACCTGTCGTGGGCGGCTGCGACGCCCGCGCTACGGGACATGATGCGTCAAAAGTTTGGAATTCGAACTGGCTGGCGGGCATCTCGCGCGAGCACAATGGCGACGCCGGGGCGGTCGCCCGTTCAGGACGAGTCACGTGGGATGGATCAGGGGGACGCGGCGCACTCAGTGCTGGCAGAAGACGAAGAGGCACCTGCAGCTGTGACGCCGCCGCAGCCACCTGCCGCGGCCGCCGCCCCGCGGGAGGCTGCGGCGCCGCCCGCATCTACATCGCAAGACGTCGCGTTCGGCCGCCGTGCGTCCCGCACACAGCTGGCGTGCGCCGTGTGCGGGAAGACCGCCCGCAACGGCGCCGCCCTCAGGCGCTGCGCAGGCTGCGGCCGCGTGACGCGCGTCTGCTACTGCAGCCAGGAGCACTGCAGGAGGCACTGGGTGGTGATGGGCCACAGGCAGCAGTGCGAGGAGGTGCAGCTGCGGCTCAAGGCGGCTGGTCAGGGAGGAGGCGCATTGGAGGGCGGCCTGGGTGGCACGCATGATGGGAATGGCGCCAGCACTCAGCCGCGGGACTGACACGTTCCATCTGTCTGCTGGCTTTCCTCATCTGGGATTTGCAAATCAATGGTTGGCTTTGTTGGGTCAGCCTGCAGCTGGGTGCAGCCTGGGTGGGTGAAGTGACTGGGCTGACACTGTGCCATTGGAGTTTTGCTGTCAGCCGATCGTCTCTGATTGCTGAGTAATCGCATGTGTGCTAGTGTCTGTTCAATTGAGAGGTGCAGGACTATGACACAAGAGCAGAGTGTCGGTGGTGGTTGGCAAACGCATCGGGCCACTAGCAGGGGGACGATTACATTGCTACAGCGCCTGCATCGCGGCCAGCGCCGCAGCGCGTGCCCACTTCCGCGACAGCGCCGCCATGTTGGGCGGCAGGTGCACGCACGGCACGCGCGGCACGTGCCCTAGCACAGACAGGTCCTGCGCGCGCCCCTCCCGGCAGCCGCATTCACCGCCGCCGTCGTCGCCTCTGGCGCCGCTGCCGGCCGGAGGAATGACGCGGCTGGCGCTCATTGCGCGCATGCCCCTGGTAGCAGCCGCCCGGGAGGTTCCGCTCCATTGGCCGCCCCTCACAGTGCAGCCGCGCTCTGCGCCCGCCCGCTCGTAGACGCAGGGCGCTGCTGGAGATGCACGCGGGCTGCAGCTGCGAGCACGACCTCCCGGCTGCTGCTGCTGCTGCTGCTGCTGCTTCTGCTGCTTCTGCTGCTGCTGCTGCTGCTGCTGCTGCTGCTGCTGCTGCTGCTGCTGCTGCTGCTGCTGCTGCTGCTTCTGCTGCTGCTGCTGAGTTGGCGGTGCCGGTGGGTGCAGCTGCTGCATGCTGGGCACGCCGCTGCTTGGGAGCTGCTTTGCACTAAAAGGCCGCCGCTGCGGATTGTGAGCGGCCCCCGCTGCCGGGGCTGCGGCCGGGTCACATTGGTGCGCCAGCCCGTGTGCTGGGGCAGTGCCTGGCCGGGAAGCCCCTTGTCCGGCCGCCGGCCCGTGGGCCCCCACATGTGCCGTGGGGCGCGTGTCGTTTTGCCGACGCTGCTGCTGCTGCTGCTGCTGCTGCTGCTGCTGCTGCTGCTGCTGCTGCTGCTGCTGCTGCTGCTGCTGCTGCTGCTGCTGCTGCTGCTGCTCAAGCCGAGCCGGCGGCTGCTGCCGCTGCCCGCTCGCAGGCCGTGGCCGCGCAATGTGCGGACCGGCCGCCAGGGACTGATCCTCGCCCCTCAGCATATTGTCTGCCCACCTCTCCCTCGCAAACGCGAGCGCCACCGCGGAGCCCGGCCGGCTGCCCAGCCCCGCCCTGCGGGCTGCTGCGTCCTCTGCCGCGGCAAACGCGTCGGCCCAGTGGCAGCCGTTGCCGTTCTTGTCATCATCAACCACCTCCTCCCCCTCCGCCCCACCGCCGCCGCCCGCCTTGCCGCCGCCGCAGCCGAGCGCCCCCTGCGGCGAGCCAGGACGGCGCCGCTCCCGGCTTCCTTGCCGCAGGCGGCCGCCCAACGCCGACCGCAGGCCGCGCACGCCGTGGACCGCCGCCGCCGCCGCCGCGCCCGCAACCGCCGCGCCCGTCTCTGCGCCCGCCTCGTCCCAGCCGCCGCCGCCGCTGCAGCCGGCGGCCCCCCAGCCCTCCGGCTGGGCGCCGCCCACGCAGCTTCCCACCGCAAAGCCCCACGCATCCCAGTGATCCGTTAGCCCAAATCCGCCGTCCACATCACTGCCGCGGCCGCCGCTGCGCCCCTCTCCCCGTGCCGCAGACCCCACCGACGACCGCCGCCGCCCGGCGGACTGCCGCCAGTCCCCGGACTGCTCCCCCCTGCCTTCGTCCAGGAGGCTGACGCCGCCGCTGCTGCGGGGCGGCTGCGGGCGCGGGCCAAGCGTGGGGGAGCCGTGCAGGGCGTCATGTCCCGCATTGCAGTGCGTGCCCGTAAGAGGACCGGCAGGGAGGGCGGGTCCGTGTAGGTACGCGCCCGGGCCCAGGTGGGGCGGCAGCGGGGGGCCTGCACAGGAGGGGCGCCGCGCCGTCTGCTTGTCAAAACTGTGGCGGGTGGGGGGAAGGGGCGTACAAGCGAATAGTGGGTTATCAGGCGTGCAGCGTCAGAGCGCAGGCAGGTGAACGTGCCCAGGGAGACGTGTCCGGAAGTCACCTGGCGCAGAGATGCTGGATGGCGTGATGCGCAGGTGCACAAGCGGGGGGCAGCGCATGCATATTGCACAAACCTTGCCAACCATCGAATACTGTAAGAAAGGCGGCTTCGAGGACGGGAAACTCACGCGACTGCGCCGCCCGCAGAGAAGTGGCCCCCGACGCCGGCGTTGTCCAGAGCCGCATCATCGCCCCACGGCCGCCGCGCCGCCGCCACAAACCCGCCGCCGCAATCGGCGGCCGCGCCATCAGCCTCCCGCTGCTGCCGCTTCCGGCGGGCGCCGGCCGCGGCGCGCCCAAACGCAAGCTTCGGCGCCCGCTCCGGCCGCGCGGCCGGCGGCACGCCCAGCCGCGCGGCGGCGGCGGCCAGCGCTTGGGCGGGCCCGGTGGCGGCGGCGAGGCGCGGGCTGTCGTACGTGTCTCGCTGCGTCACGCCCGCCCCGCTGCCGACGCATGCGTCTGCAACTGCTGCCTGGAGATTACTCAGCCGCCTGAGACCCCCCAACGTCACAGTTGCTCTCGCCGCCGCCGTCTCGGCCCCGCCGCTCCCGCCGCCGCCCTCGCTGGGCCGCCGCCGCGTGCCTGTAGCCCGCCGCTGCGCGGCCGGCGGCGACGGCGGGCGCATCGCCACGCCGCAGGGGACGTGCGCATCCAATTGGCAGTAAGAGATGCCCTTGTAGCAGCCGGGGCCCCCGGGGCCCTCGCCTGGCCGTGCGCTGCGTGCCCGGCCCGCTGCTGCGGCCTTGTCGCGCGTCGTCCCCTTGAAAGCCGCGCTGCCTGGCCTGCTGGCGGCTGGCTGCGCTGCTGGCTCTGCATCGCCCGGCTGTAGTCGGGCCGCTGGCGCCGACGCCGACGCGGGCCGCGGCGCGCGCTGCTGCTG